TTTTTTCTACTTGCTTTGATTCTGTTTTATCTTCCTGTATTTTAATCATGTAAAGCACTTTGCATTGTCTTTGTACTGAATTGTGCTATACAAATAAATTTGCGTTGCCTTGCCTTGCCTAGGCCATTTTCTTTTCTATTCTCTTCTAATCTGAACCATCACATTAGTTAGAGTCCAGTAAAATCCTGACACCTCATACCTGACTGCATGTTGACTCTACACTAGACTTGCACTACAATGAGAAAAATAAACCCTGAAATGTTGAAGAATGAATTTACAGCTTTTCTAATTTGGAACAAATGTTATTTGAATTTATATACCCAACTCCAGAGTTAAATGACAGGAGCCAATAAAACCCTTCATGGTGCATCAATGTCTGTATCAGTCATCTAGAAATCTGGCTTTATGAGGGGGAGTTAAATTGAAGAAGAAGAATCCCTCCTCCGTCTGCTGATCCAACTAAGGCTGCTGTGAAACCAGGAAAAAGAGGAAACTATCCGTCTTCCTCATTAGCGGAAGGCTCATGTCTGAACCATCTGTTTGTGGTGGATTAAGGCTTCCTCATGGCTGCTTGAATGAAGTCCTGAATTACATCCTACTCCAGTGTTGAGGAGAGGCGATCATGTTTCAGAGGAGTTTGTGGAGCTCTTCATTTGCCCTTATTAGTGAATTTATGGTTATTTGTTTTGTTTTTTAGTCTCTCCACTTTTCAGACACGACTAATTTGTTTCATTACTCACCCTGAGTTCACATTGACTATATTCTGTGGCAAATTGTGCCTTGGAGCAACTCCGCCTGAATGTGTGCAGGATCCAGGTCATGCATCCGGACAGCCCCTCCCCTCTCTTCTTCTGCATCTGTTTTACCCCTCCCTCATCTAACGGGCTGCGCTGCTCATCTGCCTGATATCTTTGAATTCTATTACAGTTCATTTTTGTATGCTCCAATTCATATCCTGTCATCTCAGGTCACTTCTAGATCCAGATCAACCAGATCATCCAGTCATTGATTCTCTCCTACTGGATGAGCAGGTGAAGACAGGACATATTGACTCGAAGGCAATCCCTCACACCAAGCATGCTTGTAGCGACAGTAGAGAGGAAAAACTACCTTTGAAAAGGAAGAAACCTCTAGCTGAACCAGAACCAGTCTCAGTGTGAGATGAGTGGTTGTTGTAGTTCATTTCTGAGATCGTCCAGCATAATTTATTATCATGAAGCACCTAGACAGAGGTCAACCTTTTTTAGATCTAGATATATTCATGTCTTAAAATAGCCTAGTTAAAGTACAGACAAACTTATTGGCCTTAAATGGCCAAGCTCCATCTTACATCAGAGATCTCATTGATCCTTATGTTCCTAACTTCACTCGCAATCTGCAGTTTTACTAGTGGTTCCTAGAATTTCTAAAAGTAGAATGGGAGGCAGATCTTTCAGTTATCAAACTCCTCTTCAGTTGAACCAACACAGAGTTAAACACAGAATAAGTTTCAGCTGCTTAAACTCACGAATACGTACCACCACGTACGTATTCGGCAGATGGCTGCTCCCACTGAGCCTGGTTCACTGGAGGTTTCTTCATGCTAAAAGGGAGTTTTTCCTCTCCACTGTTGCTACAAACATGTTTAATGTGAGGGATTGCCTTTGAATCAATGAGTTGGTGCAATTAACTGGTTTTCCCTAGATAGAGAACCTATAATAAATTGACTACATGATCTAGTGGACTGTAAATTGCCTTGAGATTACATGTGTTGTGAAATGGCGCTATAGAAATAAACTGAACTGAATAGAAAACAATACTTCGATTTGTTGAATATTTGGTTCATAAAATGTCAAACATTTTAAAACATCAGAAGGTTAAAGTCATGTTTTCTGATAATGGAGAGCTGCTGTGGGAACTCACGGTTGTCCCTCAGGGGTGTTTTCTGGTATCTCGATGGTGAAGGAGGCATTAGTAAACTGTGGAGGCCGCGCTCCAGCAACCACTGATATGATGGCAGGAGCGCTGCGGCTGCCCAGCCCGTCGGCAGCTGCCACCGTCAGCAGGTACTCCCTGTCACGCTGCAGAGGCAGCCCCGTCGTTCGTATCTGGCCAGTCTTCCTGTCCACTTCGAATCGACCGTCACCGCCTGCAAACAGGTGGATGGACGAGGCGTTTAATCACAGAGCAGACAGTTTAATAAACCTCACCAGCTGAAACAGAGAAGAAGCGGTGTGATGGACGCCACAGGAAACACAGGATGTGAGTTTGTCTGTGCATTGATGGAACTTAACCTGCTTCAGAATAACCAGACCTGCTGACCTTAGCGGGTCATGTGACTCTCAGACTGGGTCCGTCTGTTGGAGAACTGCTTCCTCTGATTGGCTGACAGCCCATGAATCCTTCTAGGTTTTTTTCATACTGAAGAACTGTTTAAAAAAAACGCTCACACATGCAGCAGTTTAGGATTTTATTAGTGAGAAGAGCTGTTTAGTCTCATTCAAAGCTGATTCTTTTATTACAGCTAAAACGTGCAACACGGTAAAAACCATGAAGAGGGACTGGGACATGCACAGTGGCAGTACCCAGGCTTTTAGCTACAGTAGCAGCCATTCAAAATGGCCCTTCCCAGTCAAAAGCCAGCTCAATGGCAGAAAAATCCAACTCCAACTTCCAGCACTGACTCCACCCTTTCACTCAATTACAGGGTCTGACCAGGATATGACGCTTCTCTTCTCATCTTAATGTCCACAAATCAGAAATAATATTTTAGATGTTTAAAAGGGAATAGTAGGGGACTAGCCAAGGACCAAACAAGGACCCATCAAGGAAAGTGAGGAAATTATGAATGGCTACTACTGTAGCAGTTCACTGAAAATATTAGAAATTGTATCCTCTAATTTCCCCCGCAAACTTCACTCAAATGTTCAAAATTTCAAAGCAGCAGATGCTGGAATTGGAAATTAATCAGAGAAGCTGATCTGGGAGCTGGAAGAGAGACAGACACAGCCCTGCTGATGCAGAGAGCTATGATCACTCCTCTGAAACAGTTTATTAACGCCTAAATTAACTTAAAATGTCGAAACTCAGATGTTGAATATTAGTTATTTTGTCCTAATCTTTTCAGATGAAGGCAGGGTGTGAGAAAACAATATGAGTCGTTTAATTTTACCAATAACAAACCTTTAATAAAAGTAAATTGAAACGGTGACATAAGGATGGCGCTGAAACTGAAGCCTCCACCCTCCATAAAGCAACTTTCCTCGCTGCAGCAGTTTTAGCAATATTTGTAGGTGTAGGTTCAAACTCTTACATCATTTGGGAAAACAAAGGGTTATAAATATTGACTGTGAATTATTAAATCATAACTTTTTTTGCTTTAAAATGCATCAAATGATTTGAGTTTATCCAGTTAAACTTCAAACCAGAAGAAACCCGATGTTTTAAATGTTTGCTCACCTAAACATCTAACTTCTGTTAGATAATAAGATCTGCTCCTTATTTATTCAGCTGATTTACAGTATATTCAATCATGCTGGTGAACATTCTCAGTCAGCCAAGTCATAGTCATTCCAAAAAAGTTAAAAAACATTGTACTGGACTTTGTTTCGAAGTTTGAAGAGGTTTCGCTTAGCATTCAAAATGTCAGAAAAGGGAATTATTGGCCTTGCTGAACAGGCAAGATCTATTCAGCAAGGCCAAAAATTCCCTTTTACGACCCCCTTTTCAGACACATAGACAGGTATGGGACATTGCAGGCCAACAAAAAGCCCAACGACCCTCATCCCAAAGGGGTGGACCCATTCGTCCGTTTCAATTTGAATGTTTTCTAAACGAAAACAAGGCTTTGTTGGGCTGCTGTATAAAGCCTTGAACTCAACCCTATTTCTGACATTTTGAATTAGAAAAGCTTCCTGCATGAGAAGCAAAACGTCTTCAAACAAATTCCAGTGGATTGTTTTTTTTTTTTTTTTTACTTTTTTGGAATATTCAATCATCCACACAGAAAAATCGTTCTTTCTATCTAAGCTATCCTGACTATTAATTAACGCAAATAGAGAAGAGTAAGAAAAACTATTATTTAGAGACATAAAGGTGTGAAAAGATTAGAGAGAAATCTAAAAGCAGCAGCACCACTTCCCCTCCTAGATGCTGTGATTAGGAGTAGATCGGAGCAGTCTTAACTATTCCACTCTCAGTCATGATGATTTGGCTGTATAAAAACCCTCGGGCTCATACTGAATGTGGCGCGTCTGCGGTGGTCGCGTCAACAAACCCAAATCATTTAAATCAATGCATAGACTCACAGCAGCCACGGTTGACTGCAGGCCCGGTTCCTTAGGCCCTGCAGCTCTGTAGGACACTCTGCTGGACACTGCAGCGACCTCCAACAAAGAAAGGCAAGGAAACAAAGGGGCCATTGCAGAATAGAAAGGAAGTTCTGTCCCAGAGCTCCCAGTAAGAGTTTTTTTCTCCCCACCAGTGCTTCTGCAGCCGCGCCGCAGTCAGTATGAGCCCGGCATCATACACCAAAATACTGTTAAATGTTTATGGTTTAAATGTTTTATGTGTTTTATATGTTTTTAAAAATTATATTTATTAATCAAATTGGATGTTTAAGGCCGACTGATGATAACCCAATTTAAAACATCACAGAAGATCAGCAAAAAGATAAACTTTAGCAGGGAAAGGTCGATCCACTGAGGAGCTCTGCACTGCTTGGTCAGCCGTGGTTCTGCAGTCATGCCAGCGCCATCACTTCTGAACTCTCTATTCTTCTTGTTGTCAGAATCCCAGAGTTCCTCCATGGGCTCTATGGACATTAGAGCAGTTATGGCTACTTTCTGCAGTGTGGTCATGTTCCAGGTCCTGCAGGAAAACCCACCTTCATATGGCTCGTCAGCAGAAAGAAGCCTGAAGAGCTCTTAGTTTGCTGCTAGATGGCTGCGCTAATTATGGACTTAAGGAGACACAGTGAACCAGTAGAGGACACAGCACCCAGAAAATCACTTAAATTAGCACATTCTGCGACTCTTTAGCGCACCATCAGACGTGTGACCTGCATCACCAAAATACCTGGAAACTTCTAGTAGACTGTTCTTCTTCTCTTTACCCCAGATTTATTTATTTTATTATTTATTTATTTATTAAAATAAAGCAACATAACAAAACCTGTGCAGGGGACAACTGAACTCATGAATGAAAGAAAAGGAGCAGAAAAAAGTCATAAAACTTATATCTGTGCCAATTTTCAATAAAGTATTACTTATTCAACACAGATAATTACAGCCGTACAAAAATAAAAAAACACACCATGTTTACCAATACAAATAAATAAATAAATAAAACCAACTATACATCAGTCTATCCATTGTCATATTGACTCATCAAAATGACTTTCAAGTTTCTGTTAAAGACAGGATGAGTTTTAGCTGCTTTAAGTCACTAATGAGCTACCTCCACAAATCAACACCTTTAAAATGAATACATCTTTCCATCATTGCTGTTCTGTAGCTGGATCTTCGTGGAACCAACTAAAAGGTTTAGTCCGTGAGACAGACACCCTGTCTATTTTTGAGGGTAGGCTTAAAACTTTCCTTTTTGATAAAGCTTATAGTTAGAATGGCTCAGGTTATCCTGAGCTATCTCTATAATTATGCTGCTATAGGCATAGACCTCTGGAGGACATAGGGACCACCATTTTATCATTCTGCTTTATTCTTTCTCTATTCTCCCACTCTACAGAATCTGTTAGTTCAATCTCTAACGTGCTGCTCTCTTTGCTTTTCCTTATAGTAGCTTCATCTGGTCTGTTCCTGTTTGGCTGTATGGCTGCTGCCATCAACACCTTTGTTTATAGATGTTGGGGATCAGCCTGTTTTTCAGTGTAGTCCTGTTTCTCTGACTGTGACTGGATGTGCTCTCTTCATCGGGGCCGCCTTTTAAAGTTGCCTTTTGTATCTCTGCTTCTTTTTCTATGCCTGCTTCTGTTTCCTTGAACCACAGTCAGCCTCAGCAGATGGCCACTCACACTGAGCCTGGTTCTGCTGGAGGTTTCTTCCTGTTAAAAGGGAGTTTTTCCTCTCCACTGTCGCTACAAGCATGCTTAGTGTGAGCGACTGCCTTCGATTCAATGAGTCGATGCAATCAACTGGTTTTCCTTTAAAGGAAAACTTTGAATCAATCTGACTGGATGATCTGGTGAACTGTAAAGTGCCTTGAGATGACGTGTTGTGAATTGGCGCTATAGAAATAAACTGAATTGAATTGAATCAAATTCAGCAAAGATCTTCAAACTGTAAGATTCCAAGCAAAAGGTGTCAGTGACATTTTGTGGACTTTATTTAACAGGTAATGTGGTTGAGAAATGTATGTTGCAAAGATGCATGCAGCTGGACTTGAACTCAGGATAAGGCCTTAAGTGACACTTTATCCAAATCTGCCTTGAATCGTACCACTAATGTAAATTTTTATACAGTGGGTTTCAACCCTGGTCCTGCCCTGCATTTTTAGGTTTGTCTTTTCTGCCACACCTGGTAAAAGAGATACCTGGTGTTTCAAATTGGATCAACGATTCAGTTCAGTTCATTTCACTTATCGAACAACACATATCATCTTAAGGCTCTTCTTCAAAGACTTGATGCAGTAGATTGGATAAAAGTTTCTGTGACGAAAATCAGCTGATTGCATTGCGTCTCTGACTTATAAAACCTGCTCCTCCTGGATAAGTCTTTTTGTAGATTTAGCTGTTGACTATTCAATAGTGTTTTTTATGTGGACAAACAAAAAAACCTTCCTCCTGTTCAGAGTGTCATCCTGGTTGCCAAATCAAGAGAGATGAGGACATACCACAGCTGGATTCTAGGGGATTTAGCCACAGTGAGCTTTGTTCAAATATGTTTTCAGAACGCAGAAGCTTCATAGGTTTGCAGGCTGCTGCTCTTTAGCCAACATAAAATAACTAAAAAAAAAAAACAAATGCTGCACTTTATCTCTGAAAGGATCATTAATTATAACCAATTATATGACTGTCTCAGCAACCAGGAAGTAAACAAAGACTGCACACCACACCGAGGTGTTCCTGATGTTATGAGAAAGGAGGAAAGCTGGAGTGGAGAGGTTTGAATGTTACCTCCATCCTGAGAGACAAATGGGAGGATTTTGGTAATTTTTTTACTGCTTGCTCCTTTAGGGTCATCAGACATTTTTGGGGTTGATAAAGAGTAGAATTTAACATGTTCCTCTATTAATTGGTATTCCAAAAATAGTAAAAAAAAAAAAAAAAACTTTGTTTTCAAGAGCATTCCTTACTCTGATCTTTTTATTAAAGAAACCAAACAACAGACACATGGCCCGACACAGAAGAGCGACCTCTGAGGTACATCCATGCCTTATGGACAGAGGACTTTTTTTTGAGGACCAAAATGTTCACATTTTGGACAAAGAAGACAGTGGTTTGAGAGTGACATGAAGATAGCCATGTATGTTAAGTAAGAAAAACCAACCTTAGACAGAGGGGCTGGACTCTGGATTTCTTGATTTCAGCTTTCAAAAGCCTATAATGCAGCGATAGAGTTGATTGCTTCCTGCTATCATTGCGGCCCCCACCCCATGCAGAGGAGCAGAGCACCTCCCTTTTCAGCAAAGCCAATAATTCCCTCTAACGACTGTCTCTCAGAGACAAAGACAGGTATCCGTATTGCAGGCTAACAAAAAACCCTAACGACTGCCCATTCCTAATTGGCGAACACATTTGTCTGTTTCAATTTGCTTGTTTTCTAAGCCAAAACAAGGCTTTGCTTTTGTTCCACTCAAACAAGCCTCGAAATCAACCCTATTTCTGACATTTAGAATTGAAAAAGCTTCCTGGATGGGAAGTGAAACCTCTTCAAACTTGGAAACAAAGTCCAGGGGATTGTTCTTAACTTTGTTTGGATGCACATTGTTCTCACTGCACGCTCAGTTTGGTGACACCAAATTATGTGATAGATTTTGAAGAAAAAAAACATGTTATGCAAGGTATGCCTGAAAACTGTTGGGACACATCAAACCGCCACCTGCAGCACAACCACGCAGTTGAGTTTAAAGATGTACAAAACGTTCCTTAGCTTTACGCAAAAACCTTTTTGGAATGACTATGACCTGGATGAGTGAGGAACTTCACCACCGTATCAATTGTTATCTAAAATAAAAACCAACTTACCATCAGAAAGGAAGTATTCAACTTCACCATTAAGGCCTTCATCTCCATCCTGAGCTTGGAGTTTGTACACCAGTGAACCTGCCAGGGCATCTGGGGAAACGACTGCGAGGTAGGGAGCAGGAAGCATGGTCCATTGTGGGATGTTGTCGTTTACATCCGTCACAGTCAATTCCACTCGAACCAGGTACCACTCTGGACCTGAAGGGCGAGGAGAAGGAAGAGCAGTTTAGGGTTTATGCTGTGGCAGAAAGATAATACAATGGACACTGTTTAAGGGCTATTTCTCTTTTTTCCACTCTATGCCTAGTCTGTAACCTTTAACAATTGTTTTTAAAATGTCACAGCGGCTGACTGTATGCCCTGTAATTTCACCATTGTTGATAATGTGGAGAAAAAAGACCAGAGATGCCATGGAGGATAAAGCACATGAACGAACTTTTAGGGTTTATCAATTGGCAGAAGCTCTTATTAGGGGAAAACGTTTTATCCATGAGGTCTGGTGGGATTATTGCCAGGCTCTCTTGGAGATGGATTTTCTTCTGCAGACGAGAGGAAATAACACAATATTCAGCAATGGAAGAAAGAATGAAAAACTGAGGTGCTTACTTGTTTTACACTAAACAAATAAACATTTAATTAAATGAGCAAGAAAAGCATTGATTCCAGTGACCAAAGTTTCATGACACAGTGGAAACTTAGATGTTTTCTCTAGCGTTTATTGACCAGGTATTTCAGAGATTTTGCAGCTGACCGGGGCTGAAACAATAATCCAGATTAATCGTGATTAATTGATTATTTAAATAATTATTAACAATTTAGAAATCAATTCATCGTAAACTGGAGTATAGAGACTGTAAAATATGTCTTTAGCTGACAGAGCGACCCACTTAGAACTGTAATTACATTAAATTTGTAGAAAAAATAACATTTTCATCTAAGTAAAAAAAAACAAAAAACATTTTTGTCTGTCTATATGGTGTATCCAGTACTGCTCAAGAGTAAATGTTTTAGTTTAAAAATTAAAAAAAATTTGTTAAGCAATCTTTGGCTATCATATTATTAATCAATTGATCAAAAAAAATAATCAATAAACAATTAATTGATTAACAAAATAATCATTAGTTGCAGCCCTAGGCTAACTAAATGTTGCATATGCTTAATGATAACAATCAAAAACTGAAACGAACTCTTGACCGCTCAAGGTTTACAAAGGAAAAAACATCAGTGAACAATCAAACACCCATGTTTGCTACTTAACACCATGAAATAAGAGCTGATATTTGAGAGTGAAAATCTACAAAATGATTATAGGAACTAAATCTACCATAGATTTCAATAAATTACCATAGTTTTCATCAGGCTTGTATAAACTCCTTAGTCCTCCACTTTCCTTCCTCATGAATGCTTTGCTAGCCAGAAATATTACAGCTATATAGGGAGAACAGACAACTGTGAAATCACTGAGAGGTCAATCATCTGACCCAGTGGGGTCTTTATAATACCCGAACCCAGATCAAAACGCAAACCCCTTTACAGGAAAACAGAAGACCAGCCAGCCAACAATTCCGTTTAACGACCCCTCTTTTAGTGACATAGACAGGTATGGGGCATTGGACTGACAAAAGAAGCCAAACGACTCCCATTCCAAGGGGTGGCTTGTTAGGCTGTGGTATAAAGCCTCAAACTCAGCGTAGTTCATGACATTTTTAATTGAAAAATCTCCCTGGATGGGAAGGAAATGTCTTGAAACTTGCAAACAAAGTCCAGTGGTTAAGATCAGTGCCACTGCAGAGCTAATGGTTATGCAGCGTGTCAAACTCCACATCCCACCTGACTGAGATCCTACAGGTCCTACAAGTTGATAAGTCAACAGACCAAGCCCACCGCTTTGCCACTCTGCTTGTTGATTTCAGCTCCATCTGTTCTAGCTTGGAACCTTCCTGTCTGTAGACCAGTGAATCTCTGACCAACAGATACCAGCAGCTCCTCATTCTCCCCCATCTTCCGAAATACTACTGTGCCTTACTACTAGGAAGAAGTAAAGGTTCACAGGTCAAAATATCTGGGTTGGACTGTGAATGGTGCCACGTTCTTCCTCATCAATGCGGATGATGCTGAAAACCTGCCTAAACAATGGGCGTACAGCAGCATGCAAGCTGCTCTGCAGCCAAGGAGGAACCACCACGGTGCATCATGAAGGATGCGCAGTAGATCCCTGGCTCTCCACTACTACAATAGTAGCAATTCAAATTTCACCACTTTCCTTGATGGGTTCTTGACTGGTTCTTGGCTGGTCCTTGACTGGTTCATGGCTGGTCCTTGACGGGTCCTTGGATGGTTCTTGACTGGTTCTTAGCTGTTCCTTGACTGGTCCTTGACTGGTTCTTGGCTGGCCCTTGGCTGTTCCTTGACTGGTTCTTGGCTGGCCCTTGGCTGTTCCTTGGCTGGTTCTTGACTGGTTTTTGACTGGCCCTTGGCTGGTCCTTGGCTGTTCCTTGGCTGGTCCCCTACAATTCCTTTTTAAACATCAATATTTGCACTAAAAAACTCTTTCTGTCATGATTTGGGGACATTAAAATATGAAGAGAAGCATCATCTCTTGGTCAGACCCTGTTATTCAGTGAAAGGGTGAAGTCAAAGCAAAAAAAATATGCAGGCTGGAAGTTGGAGGGGATTTTGCAGCCAATAGGCTGCCATTCAGCTGGCTTTTAACTGGGAAGGGTCATTTTGAATGGCTGCTACTGTAGAGGAGCAATCTCCTCCAAAATGCCCACAAAGGTTTAGGACAACCCAGCGCTCCTCAGAAGCCTTTCCTCTGGAGACTTCCAGTCATCAGAGACTACGCTGATGGGCTTAAACACAGCATGTCCCCCTAACACACACAGATACATTCCAGTCAAATAAAGACGGCTACATTTTCTGGGACCGACATCATCACAGAACATATATTAAACTACGCACCTTCACTTTGTCTGACAATGATGCTGCCAAGTGATGGTTCACATAACTCTGTCTTCTTCTTGAATATTATCAGCCTCATTTTAAGGTTGGGTTTTGTTTGTGTGATACTTTAATTTAGTCATTAGATCTTTGTTTCAAACATGGATAGAAGTGACACCATGAAACCAGTGTTTTACTTAAGGTTATGTTTTCCCTCTATTCTTTAAGAGATCAGAGATCTATAACCCACCAGAAAAAAAGAAAACAACACCAGACTATTGCAGCATCTAAACCAGTAATTACAATCAGCACACTTAAATGCATTGGAAACAGCAATCAAAAGAAAACATCAGTTCAATCACACACACACACACACACACACACACACACACACACACACACACACACACACACACACAGACACACACACACACAGATAGCTTTATTGGCTGTGACAGCAGGCATGAGAGGAAAAAAATTATTTGTCTATACATTTAAAGTTACTATTAGACTGAAACTACCTTTAAACATTTCCATATTGGATCCTGTTACAATCCAGCATTTTATTGGGACTTTAAAGCTTGATGTAAAGCACTGCTGTAAAACACACACTCTCTCAAGTTTTCTTAACAAGTACAAATCTGAAAAGAATTTGTATCCACTCCTCCTGAGCCAATATTCTGTTCATATTCTGCAGTGATTCAGGAGGAAAGCAGATTAGCACATCTAGAGCAGAACAGCCATCAGAATCAGGATGTGTGATGTGGAATATATTCCTCATGTGGAAAATGAAGGGATTTGGATGAAGACTTTGACTAGGCCATTTAATCCAAGAATAAGCTTTGATCTACCTCTCAGTTGATTTAAGTTCTAGGAAGTTTGCATTGTTGTTTCTACGTCCTGCTCTAAGTAGCTCCACTCATCCTCTTTAGGTCTGTCCCAATACAAATGTTTCATTTCCAACAAGGTACCGTTATTGACGCCATACAATTTCAGGACTAATTGAGCATACTTTAATTATTTATTTTGCAGAGTTAATTAGTTGATTAATTTTATTCCCGTGGCTCTAATTTGGAGCACATTTCATTTCAATGTATTTCCAGAGACAATTTAGTCAGATTGGTCAAATGTTTCCTGTTCTGAAACCAGCTGATTGGATCCAGTCAATGACTTGATCCCTTTGATCAACTGACCCATCTTTACTAACCAATGGCTACTGAACTTTAAACAGAAGGAGTGTATGTACGCTATCGCAGACACTGTGAT